GAGGTGGGCACGGCTCAGGGCACTTTGGAAGTGGACATGGCTCTGGGCACTTAGGTAGGCACACAGGAGGTGGCTGGCAGGGCTGCTTGCACTGCTGCTGTTGATAAGACATCTTTCTCAAGTCTTAGAATCTGAAAGAAATTACATGACAGTGTTCACAGGAAGGGACTCCTAAGAGAGAGAACCCAAAGCTTAGGTAATGCCATGAGACATTACCCCCCCAATCTCCAGGAATGTGCTTTCATCTCTGGACTCCCTCTAGACTTTCTGGCTTGTCCCAAACTCTTTAGCAATTGCTTCATCAGCACTGAGAAAACCCTCTCTTTTCTCTCACCATTTTTCCAAAGAACATGTCTCTGTTTGGAAGAACCAAATCATATGTTTTGTAGGAAAATAACATCTTCAAGAGAGGGCATCGCAAGTTCTGAAATCCTGGACAACCTCACAAGCAATTCCTATTGTCATTCTCTCTTGTGAGGTCCCAATAAGCTGACTTCGGTACAGAGCAACAACACAAGAGCCTCACAACTTCTAAGTCATAAGCTGTGGAAGTCACAGCAGAAAGGAAAGACAACAGAAAACAAAATAATACCTACGACTTTCCTTTCCTCCCTATCAAAATGTTCCTATTAATTTCTTTTCCCTTACGGGATGTCAAAGTATCTACCAAAAAACAAAACAAAACAAAAAACCAAAAAAAACGAACAAGTGAAAATAGTATATCGTGTGCCCCAATTCTAAGGTTCTGTCAATGAGGTAGTATCAAACCCATGATCATGACTTTGGACGCACCAAACTTGCCGTCTCCAATTACATTCAACATTTGAGAGCGCCGAGAAACAACTGAACTCAAGAAATCAGACTCGGTCTTTAAGCTTCCTTTGCTCGGCCCACTCCAAACTCTTTGGAGGGTACTTTCTCTTCTAATAATGGTCCTTGAGCTATTTTTTACTGCTCGGGCCACTTCTGCTTCTTTGAAATGTATTTTTTTTCTAATAAACTCCTTTTGTGCAACTTTAAAAAATATATATATAGAAATCAGACTCACCAGATTCTCCAATGTAGATCGAGACTGAGTATCCAGGACAATGGTAGTCGGAGAGCAGAGGGCCTCTTTATAGGGCTTGCTGCTCCACCCAGGAAGTGAAGCTCCTAAAACTGACCTGGTCCAGTAAATTCCCAACCAAAATGCAAATCCATCCACAACTGGCTTGACAGGAACTCTGAAAACGCAGGATCCTGCTCCGGGGACTCCTCACTGGGTTACGTGCTCATGACTCATGGAGGCCCTGCCTTAGCTCTCAGCCAGTGATGTGTGGCCCTGATAGAACTTGGGGGGCTTTCCCACTGGTGGTCGAAGGCTCTCTTTCTCCATTGCAGAAGATGAGCCTTTCCTATCTCCCACCTTCCCTGGGTCATAAAACTGCCTGCCCTGTTCCCTTTCAACTGGTTGCCATTTTGTCATGTAAGCTGGACAGAAAAGAGACTGACTACCTGGTGACATCTTTCTCCTTACCCAAGTCCTCCTTATAATGCATTTCCTGAGGATCTTATGGATTGCTGATCTCAGTTCTCTTTTATTCTTCTCAAAACGAGATCACTAGCCTTCCTGTAATGATACTTAGGAACACGCAGTAAAAAAGGTGACCTCCAGAGTCCTATGTTTGCTGTGTGGGTCCTTCAAATAGAGGGCATAAGGTTGATTCCTGTGGTCTTTATAAACTTCGGCCTCATGGAATCCACTAGGACCTCACCTCAGCTATTGTAATTCCAATGTTCTAGCAGCTCAGTCCCTAGACCTACAACACAGAGCTTTTTGCTCGTAACTCCCCAGAGTGACATGACCTGCTCCTCCATAACATCTCCCAACTGACCTCTACTTATTCTCTTTTGAAGAGAACTCAGAGAGTTATGAAAATTTCTGGCTTTCTATCCCTTTGAAATCACTGGAAAACCCAACCTAATAAGCAATAGCATTCAAATAACCCATTTTAGGGCCGGCCGAGTGGTGCGATGGTTAAGAACTGGCTTGGGACGCCAGAGGGCCCCGGTTCGGATCCCACATATGAGGGCCAGTGACACTGCCCTCTACAGCTAAGATGCTGAACAACAGCTCAACCTGGAGCTGGGCTGCCGTGAGTTGCCGGGGACGGCGTGGGCTGCAGTCCATGTGGCAGTGGGTTGCCATGAGCTACTGTGTGTAGCCAGCAGCCAGTGTGAGCGGCCAGCAGCCGCAGTGAGCGGCCGTCCAGAAGCCAGTGACTGATCTGCCTCGCCTGGGAAGAGCACAATGATGGTGCCAACTTGGGCCAGTGAAGCGACGTCCTCCACAACTAGACTGAAGAACAAAAGGACAGCAACTTGTCTGTTCCCCTTCCTCCAATTCCCCAGCGCTGTTCCCATCCCCCCAATTCCCCAATAAAAAAAAATCTTTTAAAAAAAATAAATAAATAACCCATTTTATATGGATTTTATATTTATTAATTATGTAACACACTTTGTTTGACATAGTCTCTACTGGAAAATTCAAAACAAAGTTCAAATCACTTTATTAATAATTCAGTCATTGAAGTTAATTGCCATTCATTTATAACTTCTTAAACATTAGTAATAATTTCACTATAATTTTTACTCAATTTTAGAATTGTTTTATAATAATCATAAGGGAGTAGGTATCAAATAAACCTATTTCCATCTCTACTTTCTTCATAGTTTTTCAGTGTATTTGAAGAAGGTGTGAAAGTTATTTTATGTGTCAAATTGAAAGGCCATGGAGTGCCCAGATATTTTGGTCAAACATTGTTCTTGGTGTTTCTATGAAGACACTTTCAGGTGAGATTAACAGTTAGATGAATCAGATGAGTAAAGCAGATTACCCTCTACATTGTGGGTGGGCCACACCCCATCAGGTAAAGGCCTGAATAGAACAAAAGGCTGAACCTCCCCTGGGTACCAGACAACTCTCCAGCCTGAAGGCCCTCAAACTAGGATGTTCTCTCTGCAGATTTTGTTATTAGCCAGCGTTCGTATTCACACGAGCTGAGTGTTATAACCTTCCTCTCCCTCTCCCTCCCTCTCCCCCTCTCCTATAACCTATATCTTCTTAGTCGTTTCTCTGGAAAGCCCTGATTAATAAAGAAAGAGAGACCTAAAAGCATCAGAGGAGGTCTTGTCCAAGTTTTCTTTGACAAGCCATGTGACCACGGGCAGGTCATCTCTCCTTTCTGGGTTTGAGCCTTTCTGTAGTAACTGGGAAGAAGTGGGTGGTGACGGCATGCACTATCTCTTGATCTTGTTCAAGCCGGAAATTCTCTCTTCCTCCTCTTTCTTGCTTCCCTTCAAACCACCTATTTGACCTCTGTTCCCTGCCTCTGGGAAGCATCTTCTCCATCCCATTGTTAGAGGTGCTTCTGTCCCAGGATTGATTTCAGAGTGGGATCCAGTGTCCTCAGCACTTTTCCTCCTCGCTTCCCTCAAAGATGTACACTCAAGCCCTTTTATATTTAAAAAATGTGCTCTGACTCACCATTTTAAGGAAATGGAGACACATGAACAAAAATCACAAGCGTTCTCAAAATCTGTTTTCTGAACCACCCCGTGTGGCCCCTCTGATGTTCCCTACAACAGAACACAAGATGAAGGGCTGCCTTCTTCACAGGTTAACGGGGGAACAGACAGACACACCAGCCATTAGAGTACATGTCCTGGTGCCCACCAAGACGTGGCAGTTGACTCTCCTGAGAAACGTGCCCCCTGCTCTTACCCTTCTGTCAGCTCCACCTGGAGCTTTCCTGGATCCTGGCCCTCCTGTCAGCATCTAGGCCTGCAGGCGCTATCAGGACCGATCTTGACGTACCTGCTAATGTCTTTTTAGGGGCACACACTCTCAGTTGTGATTCCTCCTGTGCCACAAATGAGAGGTGGCCCCATGAGCAGACCTTAAAGTAACATATGGAAAGCCTTTTGAAAATGTTTCACCTGCCTACAAGGGCAAAGTTCTAGAACAGGGGTCGGCAAACTGCGGCTCGTGAGCCACATGCGGCTCTTTGGGTACGTACCTGTGGCTCTGGAGTAAAATTGAAAATGAAAATAAAACTATCATAGTTTCATTTATAAAATTTTTAAAGGGTATTACTCACATAGTGATTTCATTTGTTTTATGGCTCTCAAATAATTTTTAAATTGTTCTGAGGGACAGGATTGGCTCTTCCATCTCAAAAGTTTGCCGACCCCTGTTCTAGAACATTCACCAGTTTCTAACAGTGTCTCTGAAAGCAAGAATACTGCTTATGATACAGGAGGTGGCCTCGGTGGGGAATGGAATAACTCAACTGTTAGCTGTATGTCCATGTTAATTCTCTACTATAAAAACATATAATTTAAATATCTCATCCGCCATTTCGTGGACACAATTGCCTGTGGCCGATGAAATTAGAAAGTCAAAAACTTGGTATAAAGTGATTGTAAATATAAAAATAGTAAGAACATTATGTGAAACGCGTGATGTGTAATTATGACAAATATAGTGGGCATTATGGGGACAGCTTCAGTTTGGGAAACAGTGTCCGAATATGGTCTCCAATTCTGGAAAGAGTTTTGACTTCTGCCCTTTCAGAGACAGCTCTCAAAATTTCTTTATTCAGTCCTTTATCTGAACTATCCTCTTTTCTTTATCACCCTGAGTCACTGAATCATTTCTTTGTGGGTCATGGCTAGTGAAGGGACCACATCTGGCTTCAGTATAAGCTTACAACACTGGCCTTATGTTACTGTAGCATGTGGACACACATTTATTCATGGGACCAGGGTGTCCCATCTCATCTGCGCCAGCACGCCCCGAGATGGCTGGTAGGTGCTTGCTTTCCTTCACCAGGAAATAAATTCTTCCTTATTTCTTAAATAAATACCAGTTTTTAAATTGCTTGAAACCAAAAATAAAAGTACCATTTAAGACCCACGTTAGGTCTGATGCCGGTCTGAGGACAAGAATGAAGATCAGAACACCAAAAGTCTGAAAACTAGGTGAAAATAGGAACTTAGGCTAATCATATGTATTTCTTCTTTCTCCCACTCTCTTTACAAACAGGTTTTAGGTCTTTGACAGTAATTTTTTAATGTGTGTCCCTGTTTATTCTCTGTCTTCTCCTTAAGTTCTCTGGGTGCCTCAACCTGTCACAAATCCCTCACTAACTCCCCAATGTATACCTCTTCTCTGTCCAGGCTGGTACCTACCAGTCACTCAAAACATCATGGCAGTGCATTTTGTGATTAGTGCTTTCACATCTTTTTAAAATCTATGAGCAGTCAGTAGGGTGGACCAACTGTTGCACATTAAAATTTTTAAGAGCTTCCTTGTCTTGGCCAATAATCAGAAAGCCTTGCAGAAATGTGGTGTCATCATTGTAAAAAGGAGGATGAAGAAAATGAGGAGGAACTTGAAACTCCAGAAACAGTCACTGAGTATGTACTGGAAGATCAGGATTATGGAATTAATCCAGCATCACATCCCCTCAGAAAATAGGTTAGGTTCCCAGAACTGTCATTGACCCTGCCAGTAACGAAGGGCTTTGGGCCACGTGTGACCATTGGCCATGACCATCCAGGAACAGAGCCGTCACTTCAGCACCTTAAGGCCAGGTGTCTACAAACAGTGTCATCACCGAATGGTTCATCTAGACTAAGTCAGAGGCCAAGGAGAAGGGGCTTTACTCAAAAGGTCACTCACTCACTACTCAACATAGCCTCATGTCACATAGAAACACAGATCCTTAGAGACATCTCTGATTTGTGCCATTTAAAATTTGAGAATTTCCTGCTTAAATGAGAATGCAGTGTCAGATAATCCAGTTTTGGTCACACCTTAAGACTCTCCCTCTGGGGACACCCCTCTCAAAAGGTGTGCTAATCATGATAGTGAAGACACTCAATTCGTGGTAGCCCTTGTGTCCCTAAAATGTCAGGCAGGGGTCGCTTTATAGGTGCAGTGGTGAACTTGAACACTCAGGTCCTCAAGTTCAGCTGTATGAAGGTCCAACAAAGATGAAGAATGGCATCTACCCCAGTAACTTCAAGTTTGAACACTTGAGACCTGAGACACAGAACACAGAATACTTCACACACGCGCGTGCACACACACACACACACACACACACACACCCCCCACATGTCTTACCTATCTGTCTGTCTATCTATCTGTCTATATCTATCTATCTACCTACCTACCTACCTACCTACTTATCTATCACCTATCCATATATCTAAAGAGCTTGCCTTTATCCTCTTTAAAATTCAATAACCCCATCCTACTATCTCCATTTCCTAACCTGCTAAAGGTTTTACTGTGAACCATGTCTATACAAAAATGACAGGAAAGAACCATTTTTCTTTTAATTTTGTCTAATTCTTTATTCAACATTTTATGTCACCTTTCACTATTATATGTTATACACCATTGAACAAAATAGTCCTTGCAAATCAAGATTCTATAATAAAATAGGGAGGAGATAAGGATAAGGAAATAGGAATTATTATTATACTGCATATTCCTGATATTCTTAAAAGATATGGAAACTGCAAGTCACGTTGAATTTTTGCCTCTGCTTTTATTTCGGAATGTAAGACTCACTCTCCCTCATCCTTCCAGACTCTTGCTGAAATGGATATATTATAGTACATTCATATGGTAGAATGCTTTTTTTCTTTAAACGAATTTTATTAAAATATAGCTGACATACAATATTATGCATATATTAGTTTTAGGTGTACACCCTAGTTATTCAACATTTATACACCTAAAGAAGTGATCACCATGATAAGTCCAGCAACCATCTGAGACCATATAACATTATTACCATATTATTGACTATATTCCCTACGTGGCACATTACATCCCCATGACTTATTTATTTTTATAACTGGAAATTTGAACCTCTTACTCCCTTTTACCTTTTTTCCCCCTTCTTAAAAAAA